CTCCAGTGCGGCAATAAAGACGGTTCCTTGCAGCCTCTCTAGAACTGCAAGTGGTCAGCAGAAAAAAACAAAGAATAACGTAAAAAGCTGCCACAGTTTTAACCTCCATTTAAAGAAAGCTCCCAGCAACGGACTATTCCCAACAACAAACAGCTTCAACAAAACAAATACCTCAAAAACTGGACAAATAAGTTTTAATAAAAGTCTTTGCATTAACAGCCTTTTGCAAGCAAACTTCAATAGACAGCAACAGTGTTCAGTTCTACAATTCTCCTTTATATCGAGGTTTTATTTTTAGTGTTTCAACATCGACCCAAACTATTCAAGAGTTAGGCTCTACAGATCGTATTGATGAAAAGATACTGTGGGGATGTGAGTAATGAGAGACTGGAACGAGAGTTGTTGTTGTTGTGAGTAGTGAGCGAGAGAGAAGAGACGGAAGTTGAAGTGAAGATATAGGTTGGATAGGTAGCAGAAGATGTTGTAAAGTTAAGTTGGAGAATATTGAAGAAGAAGAGAAACTGAAATATTGTTTATATTTGCTTTCCTTCTTGCATGTCTTGTCACAATACATTTAGGCTGAAAGTATAAGTTGACAGAAAGTATGAGTTGACAGAAAGATGTGGACAGTGTTTTCCATAATATCAAGTGTTGGCAATAATCTTCTTTCTTACAGTGCTTCGTGGATGGGGTTGACTATTAGCAAAGTCTAATACCACGCTGCGAGTAAAATACGAACTCATTACTACACCGAAGTATGTAATATTTCCACTAACCAAAAAGAGGAATGGGAATCAGACACAAATTAAAGAGAGTTGGCAAAGAGTCCTGTGGTATTTCATAAGTATAAATATTGCGAGTCCGACGCAATCAAACTACAGGACGGTGATCAGTAAATAACATAACTTCTTACATCGATCTCACAACAACTTTGGATCGTAGACATTTTGAAGACAAACTGATAGCTAGATTTCGATTCTTACAGATAAAAAAAACTATGAGTGCATTCCTAAGCAACGCGGAAATGTAAAAATATTCTAACATTTCTAAATGAATTATCAAATTTTACATCTGGCAATGAGATAATGTGGACAACGATTTCTGCGAAAAAGTCTTCCTACGGAAAATAGATAAGAAATTTCTCTCTATTTAAAGTCAAATCAACGAAATAAAAAATGAATCAGTTATCTTTCACAGCCAGGGTGAACAAATGTTTGAGGAAAAGCCTGCAAAACATGCAACGGTTTCGCAGTGACTTGATGTTCAGACGAAACTTTAGTGTTCCAAAATTCACGATGTCGAAAGTCACAAAGAGAAGTAGAGATAACGCAAAGCGACGAAGGAGCATCTTCTAAATGCAGACAGTACGAGCAACAATATCTGACAAGAGATTCTCAATTTGGTATGTGACGCAAGCACAACAAGAAATAAAACTGTCGTGAAAATTTGAAGTTTGGGTTGTTATAGTAATTGTTATAGTGATCTGGGCATTATAGATTCAACTTCTAGTTTTAGTACATCAAATGCACAAATATTCTTGTTGATACGATGACGAGAGGCCCCGATGAAAGTCGCAAAATGGGGGAAAGGAAACTGAAAAATCATAGCAAAGGATTTTGCAAAAAGTAGGGGATGCATTGTCTGTGACACTGACAAGTCTTTAAAAATTGTGATCTAGATTCTACCGTACAAATAAATTTTAACAAGTTGAGCCCGATTTCTTACTCTAAATTGTAATACATACAACTTTTAACCAAACTTTCAGGTCAAAGACATCAGTTGCAGTTGGGCATTGAAACATTTCTGAGCGGAGGAAATCAGCGATTTTGAAGAAAGAATCATTCATAGTAATAAAGACAACTTTCTTAGTCGATAGACACAATGTCACGTGAATTATTTGCAAGTTATCACCTTCATTGTTTTAAAGATGATTAAAAAATAAATGTTAAAATTCATAGGTTTAGATATTACGGACTTAATAAAACTTCGAAATAAAATGACAAAAAAAGGCTCAATAAGGATTTGTTGAAGGCGCGAAGAGGCAAACAAAAAAAATTATTTTTGTGAATTATCCACTGAGTGGTGTGTCAGATGAAGGCTGCAAATAGATAACTTGATTTTGGGAGATTTCGGTTGTTCGCAAAATTTTATCAAGCAACAGAGAGCAATGAAATCTAAAGGCAAGGAAGGAAGATAAGACTAAAATCGGTGTTCTTTCAAAAGCATCCTGCGTGCGTCATATTACTTATTATTCATAGGATGGAAGGAAATACTAGAAAGGAAATGTACTCATCAAAGAAAGAGGATGAAGACAGTAAAAAAAGTGTGGATCATGATAAAAAACCGGCTTTAAGTCAGAGAGTACGCAGTTAAGAAAGTGATTATGGTAGCGACGGAAGTCGTAAATATTCAAATATATACCTGAGCTATATTTCAAAATGTTTGCTTTTTGAAGCCCTATTTCGAAAGAAAATAGCATACTAGATTTAATATGGTTGGAGAAACAAAACTGGTATGGAACGTCAAGGGAATGCTAAAACCCAAGGGAATGACTGTTACTAGATATTGTTTTTGTAGCAGATATCGGCATTTGGTTCGCTTACGTCTACCAAATGATGCAAACTTCAACAAGCTGAAGGTTATTGCATAAAGCAAAAATAAGAAAAGAGAAAATAAAGAAAACTATAGTGATATGATCTACCCCTCTGAGTGGTAAGTTTTAGAAGGGGGATACCGCCAGACAATCCAACAATCACACGGACCCCCGACCCCGCGCCCCACCAAATCAAAAAAAGCAGACCAAGAGCCCGTCCGCCACCTCATCACGAAAGGGACCGGACGAATCCCCAATCCCCATGGCCGATCTGGCAGAAAAAAGCACAAAAATCAATGACCAGCACGACCGCAAGACCGCCATACAGCACTCCCCGCCTATTTAAGCGCGGATTGGCAAATGCCTTGTATTGATGCCTTCATGGCTTTGCGGAACAAGAGCGAGGAGAAAATCTTGCGAGGCCATTTTCAAATAACGCATTATGACGCATCTAGTGTGAATTGCAAGAAAAACTATTTGATGCGACGCACCGCAACGCGACGTGCCGCACCGCATCGCGACGCTTTCATTGTGAATTGAGCTTAAAACGCTAAACAAACTGACTTATGCGGTGTTCCTGTGGCAAAGTACTAACCTCCAACAAAGCATACTTATTTTCTGTAAGGAGGACCAACAGGCTAATATAATGGTTCACAAACAACAAAGCGTGCAAATAATGAGCCTAAGTGCAACTTTCTGGAGTCACTAAAACATAAAAATGCTCATGGAGTTGTTTTTATTGTCTTATAGTAAAGTAAAACAAGCTTCCGAAACCGCACTATAAAATCCGCAAACAAGTTTAAATTCCTATTGAATGACGCAAGCCACGTAAATTGCGAAGGCAGAAGCAGTTTGCCAAAAAATCGCAGGGCCGTAAGCCACAGAAAGAAATAAAGCTGAGACTTGAAGCGGGAAGGCGGTAAACCGCTAATGGGCACCTTAAAGAAATACCTATTTTATGTTTTGATTACCCAGCGTGTGGCTAAAGCGTAGCCAAGGAGGATTTCGATGATTACGGTACGGTATTACACAAGGCAAAAATATGTTCCAAATTATGCTATCAATGTGCGTCGTTCGCTTTTGCGCCTTTCATATGCCGCGTCGCGAAGAAAGAGTAAGCCAAGACTGGTGCATGCTTAAAAATGCGTTTGGCAAACCGCGCGACCGGATCTATCATACATTTGAATCAAAAAAACCCTAAAAAATAAACAATAAAAACAAAAGTATTCACATAAAATATCAATAGTAGCTTCTTAACTCTTCATTCTGCCTTGATTCACGAAAAAAAACAATATGAATTGCCACTCTACCTTGGCATTTACCGAATCAAAGCGGCGCATGAAGTCAAATCATATCAACTCATTTTCATAAGAAATCGCATTAAAAAACTTTGGCAATAAATTATAGACATAAGTCCTCTTAGAAAGAGTATCGTATCATGAAGATTCAAATTGATGTGAATTTTACGTTAGTTTGAAGACAGATCCTTTTTAATAATGACGACATTTGGATGGCAGGCAATATGAATAGGGCATCCACATAACAATGTTATTAATACGCGTTCAATATGGCTACCTGCCTTCCTTCACGCTTTGAACAAAGCCTTTCGAAGATATAGCGACTGGGTCAAGCCTCAAGCGAAATTTCAAGTCATTTGAGGCTTGCCAGCTGGCAAAGTTGTTTTGCTTTCCATTTCAATGTTACAATTACTCTCTTGGTGACAGGAAATGATACCCAAAAGATGGGAAACTTTACTACAATGATGTACAGGAACAAATGAAAAGGGAAAATTATTTCATACCTATTATTTCATACCTAAACTGGAAACCGAAACCTTTTCGCTGGCTTCAGACCAACGTACATCAAATTCTTATGGTCTTTTTATAAGACTCACACGTCTTGCTTCTAAATATTTCGAGTCAGAAATCGACCATGAAATGTGGAAAAATATTCTAGCTGCACCCTGAGGTTGACGAGTCTCTTCTAGACTGATCATTGGGATATTCCTAACAAATGCACCGAAGGAGATGCGTTGATTTCATTTCAGGAAAAGCTGTTTCACTGAACTTGTACAACCAAACAACATTATATAACTACAGGTTTAAGCTATTTGGTGTAAAAACAGGACGTTTTTAAGTCGCTATTCCGAGTTCCAAGCTTAATGCGATCGTTAGTTAACTGTGTAGCGCTTGGGGCAGTTTTTCATATTTACTCTTGTAGATTTGACAAAAATGTTTCAACATCTTTCAAAATACCCATAATATACTCCAGGATTCAAAATAATGACTCCAGATTCATGATTTACAAAGAATGAATAGCCTACATCTACTGAAATTTCCATTTTCAATGAAATAATATGATAATTATTGTTCAGAAAGACCTAAACAACAAGAACAAAATATTGTACCTTTCTTAGACTTTGCTCCAATCTTGAGTCTTGATGGCCAGCTGATAACTGTGTTTGAAGCAGACTGAATCTACAGAAAAAAAATTATACTTAGGAGCAAGAAACTTCTACTTAAAAATTTATAAGCTGATGAAGCGTATTTTCAAAAACACTGTAATAAAAATGTAATAACAACATTCAAGGGCGCAATGATACATTCTCAATACCCTCAACAGCGAATGTCAGAACTTTGCAATGGAAATATGTTGCTACAACTAATAAGGCTGGACTAGCAAAATAGAACCCATTATTGCCCTAATTAAAACACTGTGTTTTCGATCTTGTTTTTCAGTCCCCAAAATGACTTTGCAATACCTCACTCCTTTCTGCATCTGCAGAACAGCTTTCGATTTATTATGACGAAACGCCCAATTCTCTTTCATTTATGCTGGTACCCAGGCGCACATGAGACCGCATCCTGTTTCTGGGGATGATTTTAGAATGTACAGGGGCTGTTACAAAAGAATTTGAGAAGTTCCCTCGCGATTTTAGATAATTACCCGCAGTTTCTATATGTGCACGCAGAAAACTGCTATTCATTTTTGCCGCTGAAAAGAGGCAGATCTGAAGGATGCTAATGAGAGAAAAGTGAGCCAAGGTGACGTAGTAAAGCCATTTAACTTCAATATGGTAGGGTCAAGCATATGTTAAAAGAACAATAAATGAGGTTTTTTGACTATGTCACAATATGAAAATCTTGAGAGATTAGTTGGCTGATCTGCAAAGTAGGGAACACCAATACCCAACGTGATCACGAATACACACTCCGATGCTTGCATGGTCTTGATCAGAGAATAAATCGACAAGAACCAATTGCAACAACAAACGTTTTGGACGATTTGAATAGTTATCGATCGCCGATGATTTGCTATACATCAAGGAGTCTTTTCAGCTCGATAGAGAATGGTTTCCCTAGACTTACTAGTCTACGAGAGGCCCTATAGACGTCAGAACCAAAACAAAATTATCCTTTGAAGACGATTTGGCAAAAAGAATTGTGGTTGACTCACTACCTCATATGTGGTTAAATGTCACAATTTTACACATTTGAGTTGTCTTCTGTAGAATGGATAGTACATAAAACTGGAGATATATGGGCTTATTTTCATTCGTTGTTATAGATATTGTATCGTATTTTCTGTTTATTGATACTAAGCCAATTAAGACAAAGCTGCAACCTTTCAGTAAGAATGTAACATCATAAGTCAGAAACACAGAGAGATGGTCACAAGAGAGAGATTTGTCTGAACAAGCAAGGACTTAAAATACTGTTAGTGGGCTTGTTTATTTGTAATATGTAATATCAAGATAAAAAAATATATGAACAGGGACGGATTTAGGCAACAATGATTGGGGGCTGTAAAATACTAAATGGGTTTCGGTGCCACGCCCTTCAAGTCACTGGAAAATGTTGGAAACGCCCATTTTTAAAATTCGGTTTTTAACATTAAGGTAAAGATGATAAGTATACAATCTTGGCGTTATTTTGTTACTACTGACTATCAAAAAATGATTTTACAAAATAGAAGCAAATTTACCGAAGAACAAAGAAATATTGGGGGTGTTGCACCCCCTTTGCTCCCCTGCTAAATCCGTCTCTGTAAATGTAAAATGCGTAAAAACTGTGTTTTTTGTATTCTTTTAGTAAACAAAGAGGAATGACAGATAGAAGCTGCTTTTATTATGCATGTCCACATACAGTAACTAGTAATGAGAGTCTGTTTTAAAAACTCTCAGTTTACCTAAGATATACTTTTATCAAGGTTTTTCTCCCTAGACTTTTTCGCCCCTCAGCATTTTGAGCATCTTCAAAATAACTATGTCAAAGGCCTTCTGTAAAACACATGGTTTAAAGTTTTCGCAACATTTATTCTGTCACTTAGTCACATCAGTCAATAATTCATAATTGGCTCCTAATACTCTGCATATATTTATCAAAAATGATGTTTCCCTGTAGTTCGATCTAGCTATTCTCAGTGGCGTAGCTAGCGGTCATGCTTGTCATGCCGGGCATGACCATCTATTTCCAGAGATAACATTTTTCAAAAAATTATATTTTCGTAAGAATAAAGTCCTATTCTTCTGATGAAATAGCTCAGGCCATTCGCCTTTGGAGCCCTATGGTTCCAACCAAGAATATGGAGCCCTCCGAAGGCGCTCTTCTATTGTCGGGCATGACTAAAACAGAGGGTTTCCAATTTAGTCATGCCCATAACTATGAGCATGACCAAACCCTGTGTTTTAGTCATGCCCATAACGCTGGTTCCCTATGTTTGGTCATGCCTAACAATAGGAGTGACGCAGGAGAGAACAAAGGCTAGTCATGCCATTTCGAGAGGGCATGACCATCATTATAATCATCAGAACTGTCCTGTGTTATTTCGTGAACGCGAATGCGAGGCATCGATGGCGGCGCTGCTATGCCTAGATCCACGAGCTGGGAGGTAATTCTCTGTAAGTAAAATGCAAGGAATAGCTTATTGCCAAGCAGCCACGACTCATGTTAATCTCGAGAACATTTTATGGCAATGACAGGGTTTTCAGCCTTAATGGTGTTGCACTATGTGGAGAAGTGACAGGCACAAAAGGTCATTTTTGGACATAAAATCAGCGAGCAGGATCATTTTATGCAACCAAACCAAACTCTCAGCCTTTTCAGTAATCAATTGTTACTAGTTGAACATTTGCAGAGAATCTTCTTGATTTAATGAATGCCAAATCTTGGTGCTGTTCACTGGAGATGGATGGAGGAGATAGCAGTGTTATTTTCCAAACCAACAGATTTGACAGCTTAAACTTTCCAGACATTTAGCAGCATATTTAGAAACTGTTAAGCCCTTTATAAGCATTGTTACCATATTATGATTAGGACAATAAAATTGTAGTTAATGGATAGGGAATGCCAAAACTTGCTTAAAGTTATTCTTCAATTGTTTGTTTTTTATCACAAGCAATAACACTGTTTTAAACACAACTAAAGTCAAACTCAAAGCTCTACTGACTTCACTTATAGTTGAAAGTACCTTTTTACTAATAGCTGTTGAAATAAAATGACCAGAAACAAGTTAAGCATGTTACTGATCTTGTTATTTAAACAGTTTTATTTCATTATTACAACTTTTGATATATTTGAAAATTTACAAGATCAAATTATTTCATTTACAACCCTTGTTTGCTAGATTTAGTAAAGACAATCCAATTATGTGGATATTTACCACAAGTATATGTGGAAACATCAATGTTTTTGTTAAGCTAAACTTATTTTGCAAGGTATTTTTTTATTAAGTCTAACTTTGCAGAAAACATTTGCAACTAGGCGTATCCATTATTTTAGCTTCCTATATATTTCATATCAATATTTACATTGCATTTTCATTTGCCTGTTTGTTTTATTTATCTATCAGCTCTATTGAGGTTGTTAGTTAATCATGATGGCTTTAAAATACCTTCAATAGATTGATAATACGACTATTTGTGGAAAGGATGACCAAAAAGCTCCCATTCAGTTTCATGTCATTTATTGTTTCATTTACAAATTTTAGCTTATCTCTAAAATTTACAAATGTATTTCAGCCTGCAAATTGAAAGAAATTAGGAGAACAACAGAATTTTTTATTTAAGCTAAGTTTATCTACTTTACTAAACTAATGTTTTTCAATGTCTTTTGTACAGTTCTGTTTGGAAATTGTCAGAACTCTGTCTGTATAAATTACCAACAAACCAAAACAGTGTCACAGCTATAAGATAAAGGTCATTTCATGGTGTAACAAGATGATTGCTATGAAATAAGAAAGGCTCATTCCAGAAGTTAATCAAAATTTTTTTTATAAGTCACAAGCCTTAAAATTGAAATGTTCAAAAGGAACTCATCAACTAAAAAATTGGGCGTGGTAAAATTTGGCCACACCCATTTTTTTCAAATTTGAAGGGAGGGCATGACCACTGCTATTTGGCTAGCTACGCCACTGGCTATTCTCCATCACCTAATTAACGATGAGAATTTTTTCACAGTTAAGGCAATCAAAATAAACACTGGTCATGCAACCAAACTTCATCTGTTCGACTTTAGCTAACTTTGATCTTAGGACAAAATTTTTGTTTAAAGAAAAATTTGCGGCCACTAAGCAGGCCAAAAAAATTGCACCTGTTCCGGTTCAAAAAAGTGCCTTTGAAATCTAAGCAAGCAAAAATTTATTTCCAAAGTGCCAGGACTCAGAAAATTTAAATTTTAGGTCCTCTGAATATACAGGCATCCCATTTTCAAAACTTGTTTCACGAGTTTCAATATGGTTAACAATAGAGCAGAATCCATTGCTTATATTGCTTTAACAGTCTTTGATTATGACGTGGAAACGTTTTTCCCACTAATTTTTAGCACTAAAAAGGTTTTTATTTAAATGGCTATCCAAGTTTCTATGGCTTGCTTATTCTGCCACGTCTACATAGCCTAAATCGACTTCTTCAGCAATTAATGGAGAGTTGGCATGGCCCTTAAGCATTAATGGATTTTTAGAATGTCAGACTTTTGTATGAATCTGACTGTGATAATGTGATGTGATTGCTTTACAAAGCTCATATCAATTATCCACAATCCTGGCAACATCCAAAAGCAGGAAAGAACTGAAATATGGAGGAGGGGATCAAAGAAAGTAATTATGGAGGAGGGGATCAAAGAAAGAAAGAAAGAAAGAAAGAAAGAAAGAAAGAATAAAAGAAAGAAAGAAAGAAAGAAAGAAAGAAAGAAAGAAAGAAAGAAAGAAAGAAAGAAAGAAAGAAAGAAAGAAAGAAAGAAAGAAAGAAAGAAAGAAAAAAGATGACAAAGTGAATTATCATATATATTCAAAGATCATGTATTTCTTTAAGACTTTTTCCAATGAGTTTCTGATTCTCAATGATTCTCAATGACTGCATCACATGCCCTGTGCTTTACCCAGGTCACTCTAAAATACTGCAGCTGAGAATCCAAGAATTCAATTGACTTCTGTTTGACTTTTAGACCATCATGCAGGCACTGCGGAGCAGGGGGGGGCTTTTTTGCAAAAAATGCCAAATAGTAAGTAATAAACTACCAGTAAAGCCTTTTTTATATGGTTTTAGGCCCCCTTACACTTTTTTTAGACCCCCCACTTTTTTCAATGCTCCACTGTGCCTGTGATGGTAGGATTTTCAGAGAACAGAAGTCTTTTTCACCTTTACAAAATGATGATAAATTCAAGAATCTGATATCAATGTTTGTTCAAAACCCATCTATGATTCAAGAAAATGCAACTAAATATCCTGATAGATATTTGAATCTTCTAATTCAACCATCAAAATGATTATTCAGATTTTATGACTTAAACTAAATCTTAAAATTACATAAAAGATTTTTTAGTTTAGAGTTAAACTATTTGCTCTAAGCATCAAATGTTAAATTTGTTTGAGACTAAGGGACTCACTCTGTGAACATATTTTGCCTTTAATACAATGAGATGTTAAGAGTGCCTAGGCAGTGATGTGCCTAGACAATTTTGTTGGGGGGGGGGGGCGTTCAGAAAAAAGTGACCAACTTTACTTTTTTGACCGATTATTTCTCCATAGAAAATTCATTTACAAAGAAATGGATGATCATATACACACATAATGATAAGTAAGAGCAAATGATGGCATGAAAGTATAAGGCAATTAAGTTTGCGGAAATTTTCCTAGAGTTAGCGTTTTTGAAAAGCCAATTTTAGGAAATCTGCAAAAATGAACTGCAGTTTCTTTTGAGCTCCTCATGACAATAATGTCAGCTTATAAAATGTCCTCTAATCTATAAAATTTCACAAGAATTGAAGGGGCAGATATGGCTGGAAGGCTGCCAGGTGGTTTCAGAGGCTCTGGGACAAAATGGGAAGACGATGCCCCTGCAAGCAGAGCCAGCAGAAATTTTTGCATCTACTCTTGATCAAGAAAACTTCTTGCAGTTATTTCTTGCAATGATTTCTTATAGTCGTTAGCTTGCTCCTTATAGCAAGTTATTTGCAATACACTCTTTTTTGTATGAATCAGTGAATTCGAGTTCAGGTTGACTGTTTTTTCAAAAATATGAGGGTGGATTGTTCTTAATTTGTTCTGAAATTAACAAGTGGTACACAGTGCAATTGGTAATGTTTTCACTCAAGGGAGATGTTCAGGCCTCATTTGCCAACAAAGTGAGTGAGACAGCCTTCGTTTTCGCACAGGTTTGAATATTCACCAAAAAAGTACCCACATATGGCTAAAAGTCCTCGTTTTTAGATAAAACGTTGCTCAAAATTGCATTTTACTGTAGCTCAGCCTCAGCTTGTTCTTAATTTGTTTTTGACTTTTGACCAATTTGAGGCTTATGTTCTTATAAAATTGTTCTTATAAAAAAGAGTGTATTACAAAAAAAAGTTGACTATGAACAACCATAACTAACAAATGAATGAACTTTAGGTTGAAATTTGGTCAAAGTTCCTATTTAATCCAAAAATTCTTGCTGCATGACCAACTTTCTTGAAGTCTGCAGACATTGGGGGGGGGGGCATGACGCATCCCTGAGTAGGGCTGTGTCCTGGGTCCTGAGAAATATTTGGTTAACATGACCAAAAAATTGATTTTGAAAACTCTGTTTGAAAACCTGAGTGGTCTTTGTATTTTATACTTAGAAAGATATTAAATATACCATGACTGATATCCTATATTTCAAAATTTCAAAATCTATGGTAAAATACGTAAAATGACCATTTTTAGCTAGCTAGCTCAAGAAGGGTGTCCAGATTCCTTTTGCTAACAAAGTGGGCAGGGCATCATTTACTTTTTGTCAAGTTTGAAGATTTGTTGATTAATCACTCCTAGATGGCAAATACCTTAGTTCTTGCAACATATTTCTTTGAAGAGGGATGTCCATTTTGAAAAACCCTTTTCATACTTTCTGCAAACAGCATTTTCCCACTTTGAAGACCGCTGGCCAGATTTTTGTGCAAAGAGCTTTAAAAACTTTTCAGCAGTTCTGACTGAAGATGTTGCTTGGTCAAAGAACTCACACAATACAGGGCCCACACCACTGACCCTACACTGGAGGGGCCAACAATGTACAAAGTTGTTTTCTCTTACCTTCTTTAGCTTCAATTTTTGTAAAAAAATTCATGGTGCTACTTTACTTATGGACTTTGGTTCAATGTATTTGCTGTAATCTACAGATTTATCTGTCTTAAGTAGTTTAAGCTGATTTTATCGGGATTGGGAGGCCATGCCCCCCCCCCCCCTTTCCACCCCTGTGGCATTGCCCTGCAATATACAGTTGAAGAAGATGCGTTAACATGATATCTGTTGCGAGGAAGTTGATCACCTCATATGTACATATGCCAGAGAGCTTTTATTGACATTGTTAATAGACAATACAAAGGGAGTTAAAGGGATTACATATATGGGTTTGTATCCAGGAAAAACATGAAATTAAATTGGTGGAGTATTTTGGGAGATTTTGAAGATTGCATTAAGGATTTGCTTGTTGGTTTGTTTACAGAGAATATTGGGAAACTTAATTTGTTTTAGCCTATATATTTGTTTGAATTCAAAACACTGGTAAATAAAGTAACTATCTAGGATATCTTATCATATAGTTTGATGAAATGCAGATTCCCAGAGGTAGAAATAACAATGACACCAAAGAATTAGCATGTTTTAGGTACCCTGAAAAAAGCCATTTAAATAAATAATGACACAATTTGAGCATGATAACAGGTATGATAGTTTGAGTTTAACTGGCCATGAAATTAGGCATTTTATCCTTTTAAATTGACATCACAAGAATTATTGAGTCGTTATGTAGTGTTAAATCATATAGACAGGAAAACGGAGCTGCAAAATGGCTTTTTATACAGGATAACTGCAACAACAATAAAAATGCCAAGAAAACTCTTTGCCAGGTGAATTTCATTGTTGTAAAGCTTCAATAAAACTGCATGACTTATCAGTTTACAAACCGGATTAATAAGGATATACATATAACCTCCTCTTTTTTGCTTTTTGAGAGCCGAGCTTTACACCAATTTCCAATTGACACAAGGAAATCAGGGCGATTAATAACAATGCACCTTGGAAAAACTTGTGAGCTAGAAACTGGTTTTCAACAAAAGAGAAATTCAATATTAAAGCCAAAGAAAAGTCTGCCCTTCTCCTTTACACGAAAACAATCTAATGTTGGCGGAGGTCATCGCAAGACCCAACTCAAGTCTTTTTTAAAAATTCTGCCAAAAACTTGTGCGTATTGCCAAAACTGACGATACAAAAAAGCTGCAAGCGTTTAGGGGTTTCAAACAACATGAATCCTAAGAAAGAGTGCTATTTTTGCAAGTCATGACTAGGTAAATGGTTAAAACTGATGTCTGCGTGCAGATCAATTACATCAAAAGGTTCTCGAATTTCAACTGTAGGTATAAGTCTCAGTTTACCGACCCTTGTATTGACGCTGTGGAGATTTGAAACTTTTAGATATTATAGTTCATGGGAAATTAATTATCTCGGTTAGTTCTTCGTGAAATTTGATGTCAATTAACGTACTTCAACTTTCTCTTTCAAGCGTTTATAACGCTACGAAGAACAGTTATTGATTTTAAAAAAAATGAGGATAAATGAAGACATACCTTCTGAAAGAATTCTTCGCCGCTTTCTGAATTATTCTGACCTTCTTTTAGACCAGCTGAAAATGATATAGAACCGAAATTAGTACGTTAACCGAACTGGAGTTCACAGTAGTGGTGAAAAAGGAAAAGGAGCCGTGTAAAATCAACAGATTACGCTTACCAAGACCGTTGTTAAATATGATTGTAAGTAAGGCCTACGCTAGTAGAATATTATTCAAACACCAATCCCGTGCTTTTTAATAATCTAACTCTAATCCAGACGGCTGTAAAAATTGGTTTAAGCACGCTGAACTCAAACAAATCGCCGAGTTGCTTAAGGGCTGTGTTGGAAATCTTGTCATGTTCGTAAGTCTTAACCTAGTAACCCCTTATCGACAGAACCGTAAACGATTTGGACTCCACATAACAACCTTGCAAGAGAATCTCCAGCTTTCGACGATCGACACGAATTCGCTCTTCAGCACACTGGGAAGCATCGCTGCCATTTTCAAGGCTTTGATCGCCCTCTGGGTCGTCATGGTCGTGGCTTTGGCATTGCTGACTACCAGCGTCGTCCTCACTTGCTGCCATCTTGTTCTATTATCACTTCTCGCTTCTCATGTTTTGATGTCTATTCCCACAAAACTCCCCCGCAGCATACCGAGGACGCAATCAAGGAAAATTACGACTGGTTCCCAACGAGGTTTGATTTTGAGGAAAACAAATGGGTGACGACAGTAGAAGGCTTTGATGTTGAATTCGAAAGACGCATTTTTTTATAAGAGCCAGTAAATGGCGGTTAAGGGCGGCTGTTATTATTTTATCCATAACTACGAGAAGTGGCGGAATTTGCGGGGGTGTAGGGGGGCAACCGCCCCCATACAATTTGTCGGCAAAATTGCTTGCTTTTGTATGCATTGCCCCCACCCCACTTGAAAAATGAATTTCCGCCACTAACTATGAAGATTGTTCGTAATCTCTTCTTGAAATATGCACTCTTTTTATAAGATCCAGTAAATATTAGTTCATGCTGACTGTTCTTAATTTTTTTGAAAATCTGAGGCTGGATTGTTCTTAATTTGTTCTTAATTAAATAGGGTATAAGCAGTAAAATTGCCAGCTGTTTTGTTCCAGGGAGGTGTTCAGGCCTCATTTGCCAACAAAGATAGCGAGACAAATTCAATTTGCCGACAAGTTTGAATATTCACCGAAAAAGCACCAACACATGGCTAAAAACCCTCGTTTTTGAAATAAAACATTGTTCATAATCGAATTTTACAGCAGCTCAGCCTCAGCTTGTTTCTAATTTGTCTTTACTTTTTGACCAACTTGGAGACTTCTTACAAAGTTATTTTTTTTAAAAAGAAGAGTGTAAGGGTGTACGATGGAAAATTTAGCCCGGCGATGATATACCACGACAAACAACATTCTGTGGGAAAATCCGAGGTTGTGAGGGCGAGGTTGGAGGCTTGTGGTCAGGGTGGATGTTATGGGGTTGTGTATATTTTTTGATTAGTTGATGGGTGGCTCATGTGGAACTCGCACCATGTGCAAAAGAAACAAATTTTGAACATTGAACTCAATCGTGATTATGACTCTTGAAGAGTAAGTGAAACGAAAAAAGAGGGAACTCACTCTGAAGAGAAATCTAAAAGGAAGGTCGCAAGAACAAAATCTGACATCTGAAGAACAAGACAAGGACATTCAGGTGCTTTTGTTTACCAGGTGTCGTGGGGCTCAGAAAGGCCAAGCCGCCATGCTAAAATTCAGAGAGATGTTGGAGGGCTCAGCCCCCCTTAACAAGGATTCAAAGCGTCCCTTCGGCAGTTATACTTGTGCCAGACCCAGTGGCGGCACCAGCTATTACAGACTGGGAGGGTAATGGGCACGACCAGTGGGATCACACCCGTTTTGCCTCGTTTCAGTGATTTGTACCAAGTTAACTTTCCTTAGGAAATTTTATCTTCCCCTACCCAGCGTTTTTAAATCCATTTTTAGAAGAAATGAAAAACCATATTTTCAGAAAAGTGGGGGGTAATTACCCCCCATACCTCCCCTTGGCGCCGCCACTGGCCAGACCCTAATTGACATGTTACCTGACCTTGGTTGTATGCCGAAAAAAAATTATTTTCTGAGCACGTCATGCTGATGACTAGCCTGCGCGCAGACTCAACTGGTTTTCCCAGAGATGAATTAAGATGAATGGAAAATTCAGAAAGATAATTGTCCGTTATCAAAGACCGACAGCCAAAAAGGGAAATTTTCCATTTTTTGAATTTCTAATGAAACTAGCCATCAATTATCTTTCTACAAGATTAATTTCTTGAGATTGAATATTCAAGGGCACTGCTTGCCCCTGGGAGAGAAACCCTGGATTTCCCATTCAACTAAATTCATCTCTGGGAAAACCCTCTCTGGGAAAACAAGTCGAGTCTGCGCGCAGGCTGACTGATGACACGCATAACGTTTTAGTAGTTTCTCGAGTAGTTTGCTAAGCGATTACTACAACAAGGACATCGCAATGCCCGCGCCACCAGGGGGGGGCGGTGTGGCCATGGCCCCCACTTTTTGCGAAGCAAGTAGTTTTAAAGCTGTAGTATAAGGGGTAAGAAGCCTTGGCCCCCTACCTTTTTAGCGTTGGCCCCCCACTTTCAAATTCGTGGTGCGGGCCTTGGATCGGGGACGATTTTTCAAATTTCTTAACTAGGTAGAAAAAAAATAATATTTAATGACAGTCCATTGCAATTATGCATGTCGTCAGTGTGATGCCCTCAGGAAATATAATTCTCTTATTTGTAATTCCACAATAGGTTTGAGTGCGCGTTTTAGTAATTTGATGTAGACTGTAGAGTGTCCGCGATGTCTTCGAAGTCTGCGATGTCTGCGTTTTATATATGGCCCCATGTTTTCAAATCTTGGACACAGAATAGGAATTAGGCAGAAGGGGAACTCCTGCCTATCAGGTGAAACCTGAAAAAACTAGCGCATGCGTTAACTTATACGAGGCTTAGCAAGATTCTGTCGGGAAAATTTTAAAAAAGAAGGAAAGTGTACAACTTTATTTGAGACAAAATGCCCCATGATAGTGAACAAATTCAATTATGTATCATAATTCGTTTATATCTGATTAACGAATGATAATTTGTCATGGCTAAGTTCGTCTAATGAAGTCAAGGTTAAAGGGGAATTAAGGAATTCTATTGTTGACTCAGACTTCAAAAACAACAAAGGAACCGACGAGAGTTACCCTTCTGCCTATTTCCTATTCTGTGTCTTGGATAGAATATGCCTCGGGATCGCAGGACCAGAAGAACATTTCCAATTCGAAGACTGGTTTCAACATCCACGCCTTTCTTGAGTACCCTAAAATATAAGCTTTAAGTTTACTACTATAAGCTTTTATAAGAATACCACATTTTTTGCAGAGCCGCAAATTTCTTAAAAAAATTCGATGCCGAGCATAAGGCTATTCTTAAATTGATGTAGCCCGGCACAAGGTGTAATTTTGCTTTATGATCAAAGAAAAAAATTCAAATCTTTTTGATGTGCTGCTTCATCAAAGATTTAAAAAATAACAAAACAGAATAATAAATGTGGTATTAAAATATAAAATCTAGCTCTGAGTCATCCTATAGGGTTTAATACCCGGACAATTGAAGGGTGTACTTCAAAACATACAGATAGCATGAAAATGACAGTTCTTTTGCTTTTTAAGAAAACTAAGATAGATTAAGAGAAATCTGAGCCCTATTAAGAGAAAACTAAGAAAAAACCAAGAGAAATCTGAGCATTATTCTTAAATTATTCCTAAATTTAAATGATTTTGAGCCTCAATATTATAGACTATATTCTTAAAAAAGTATGTATTTTACTGACTGATCGATTAAAAAAAAACACGGAAAATGTCATACTGAAGCACTCCTCACCTAGCCTTTGTTTGAGACCCCTTGACTTGAAAGTAAAGGCTCTTGTGCAACCGGCATGCTTTGCGACTCTGATTCAAAGAACCGGCCTAATATTGTTCTGCATGAAAATACAAAACACAGTCCATTTTCTCAAGACAACTACCGCTGAGCATGCTGGATGCGCAGGAGCCTTTAAGATTTTTTCTTGAACACTCCTCAGATTATAAATGTCGGATAAGGACCAAAACATAAAAAGGAAATTTGTAGCCAGACGTCCAGATGCGGATGTAAAGAAGCGTTAGAGGGAGAATTCCGGGTTTGACTGGCTTAACCACACATTTAGAGTCCAAAAATAAAAGGAAATCTGAGTCTTCAGGTATTTTCCTCACACAATCATCATTTAGGAATCTAAACTTGGCCGACGGGGTAAATCGTAGTGAAAAATTATTTGAATGTAAGCTTGGAAAGTCAAGATCATTTTAACAGCGAACAGGTGTTATAAATGACGTCGTTAGTTGATTCGCTAATCACTAGGTAACATTAAACACCAGAAGGAGACAAGCATCAAAAACGAGCAATTTCCTTCGCATTGTTAAATTATCGTAAAACAGGAGAAATGGGCGTAGTCGAACAGGATTTCACAACTTCCTATTCAGTAGAAGAACATCATTTTCGATCTTAAAAGTTTCATAAATAATTTCCTACCAACCTTCAGTCATACTTTTCAATCAAATACATGTAGTTGGGCTGATCTTTGACGTGTCTTCACTTAAAACTCTTATCTTTAAAGTCAAGTAAAATTTAGCGTGGGTTGGCTAGCTATTTTGCTTTAAGAAGCCTCCTAGCAACTAGAGTTACCTGCAAACGTAGATTTTTCCAGAATTAGTAAATCTTCTCCTCTCTATTTCCCAGTGTCCTGCATGCATTGTTTGATACATCTTTGTGTATAGGAGGGCCTCTCTCCTCGATTAGCTTTGCTAATGAGAGAGTTCCTCCTTCAAATGATTCCCCATACATTGTATATCCCACAGATAATTTGCGTTCCACATCTTATCCATTGTTTGACATCATAATTTTTTTTTAAACATCTCATTTTCATTGAATACATTTTAAATTTACAATTATACGACTCGCTTTTACAGGCATCATATAATTGGCTTATCTGCATTATAATAATAATAATAATAATAATAATAATAATAATAATAATAATAATAATAATAATAATAATAACAATAATAATAATAATAATAATAATAATAATAATAATAATAATAATAATAATAATAATAATAATAATAATAATAATAATAATAAGACCATATTTATACAGGTAAACTTGTTCAGCAAAAATGAGTTTGCTGCTATCAATCAAGGACCTGTGATTGCTTGATATTTAAAATTGCTGAATTTTTATTTACTATTTTGTAGAAATGTATGTTATGGAATTTAAATTATAATGAACCTGAACCTGATAAGAAATATTCTCGGAATTAGTTCTCAATTTCCTAATTTTTTTGCTGATCTTTGTCTCAAAAACCTCTTGTTAGTTTCGTAAATACCAAATGCGAGTTACGTTTTTTGAAACTCGCATGCGAACTTCAAGGAACATAATAAGATGTTTAAAAACTTAAAGGGATAGCACAGCAAGAGCCCAAATATCTAAAGAGTAAAAAGAGGGGAGCAAAGTTATTGGAGGCTTCTAGCATTCCGAATAATTTTATGCAAAACTTGAAACGTTTTTAAGGGAATATATAAAAAAGAAAAGTGTTCAAGGAAAACACAGGAACAAGTGTCTTCCCAGAGACCATCTTACGGTCATACCCCCCGAAATATCCCTTTTAAGGGCATACCTCCCGAAAGTTCCCCTTTACGGTCATCCCCCACCTTGATACTGTATTCTCATCAGATCTTACTTCGAGCGATTAACATCTCAAAGGTTGGCCTGCTTTATCTCTGACCTTATTTAAAATATCGTCTGGAATAAACTCGAAGGGTCGCCAGAGAGGTCATGGAAGAAACAAAATGACAGTTAATGTAGTAATAAGGATCAATTCCTGTTTCACATATATCTTTACACAGTATCAAATAAGAACAAGGTCACAATGGTTTGAGTTGTCAGGAAATTTCAGTCCTTGCCAAAGAAAACCAATGTCAACGTCATTCTAATTTTTGAAAGAGAAGTATTGTAAATCCTGGATTAAGCTTACAATATGACTTTACACCGCGTTAGCTTTAAGGCCCCTCAAAAGAAGCTGACTCGATATATACCAATCTACGTGGGGTATGCAGTCCCCCTCCCCAACAAATTTCCAACTATGCTATTTTTTCGTTATACTTTATAGCAAGGTACATAATTGGAAGGGAATGTTTTCCTTCTACACCTACATGAAAAAACTCATAGGGCCTAATTTGTACTTCATGTACGGGCTTTTACACCAAAACAAAAACAAGAACAAAAAACGTTCCAAAAAATATGCATTAGATATTGAAAGCAGTCTGTCTTGCAGAAGGACTTCTTATTAACACTGAAAATTTTGAATATCATGTTCGACTAGTAAGTCTTTTATTGACTGTCGGTATTTTCACTGACGCTCAGTGGCGTACCCAAGGGGGGGAATAGGGGGGTCCGGACCCCCCACTTTTCTAAAATTTGGTCCTCAAGATTTGTCCAAAAAACGATGTAAAACTCATTTTGTAGTATACTGTATGCTTGTGTCAATAAAAATTGTAAAATACTTTGCTATATACCGTAGCTAAAATGAATCAAATTATGGGGGGAAATTTTGCAAAAAGGGCGTTTCCCCGCATTTGCGAGTGTTTGAAGGGCGTGGTCTAAAAAAATTCTCCAGACCCCAACTATTACAGCCCTGGGTACGCCACTGCTGACTCTCTAAGCCCCCACGCCCCCCCCCCACCCCAGAAAAACCTGGCTCCCCCCAATTTAAGTTAGTCCAAAGGCACTCTCATTGCACTGCAATGCAGTGAGATGCAATCTTCTAATCAAGCTATCTTGTAGGTGCTTACCAAGGGAGCCTAAGTTATAAAGAAACTGCTAACTTAAAGGTACAGAATCTGATTTTTAAAATGTAAAGGAAATAACCCTAATCATAGTTAGGGCTCAAATTGATTAGAGCTAAGTGATTAGAGCTAAGTGATTAGGGCTTGGGTTCTACAAGGTGAACATTTTGCAAGCAACTCTCTTTGAAACCTAAGGAAAAATAGCTTCTATTGAGAAACATCGCCCCAACAAAACGCGTAGGTCCTATCTGCAAACTGTGTCGCGTGCATTGCCAAGGTAAACTCGTGCAGAATTGAAATATTATCTAAGCTTAAACTAACCTGCTTCGGCAATAATAGAAAAGCTTGGGTAAAGTCCAGAAAT